TAACAGAATACTTAATTATTATTTTTATAAAATTTATAATATTAAACCAAAAATAAATTGTTTTATTATTAAACTTAAATTAAATTATATATAAAAAATATATTTTATATTATAAATCATTTGACAAAAACTCTTAAAAACTACTTTTTATGCGTAAAGTACAGTTTATTAATGCATATTACTCAAAACTCAAGATTACAAGTAGATTGTGCGCAAGTACAACTTATTAAAGTTTCATATCTGAATTCGTGTAACTAATTGCAGATAAACATAATCAAATACAAGATAAACATCTTATTTTAAATATAAGATAATACTTAATTATTATCTATTAAAATATTTATATTATTAAACTAAAAATAAATTATTTCGTTCTTAGAACTTAATTATTATCCTAATTATATTTTAGATTTTTTATATTTAAAATGATATATTTATAAGAGTGTTTGATTTTGTTTAATTGCAGTTAGTTACACGAATTCAGATATGGAGCTTTAATAAGTTGTAYTTACGCACAATCTATTTGCAATCTTGAGTTGTAAGTAATATGCATTAATAAACAATACTTTACGCATAAAAAGTGGTTTTTAAAAGTTTTTGTCAAATGTTTTATAATATATTATAAATAGGTCAATAAAATAGACATCTATTTTTTTTTATTAATATTAAAGTAAATTACAGATTTGGTCCATGTCATTTTAGTTTTTTTTTCTTGGATAATGGATATAGTCCCTAGAATTTGTTCATTGCAAAATAGGCCTTAGAGTTCATATTTTCGTAATGTTTTGGTCCCTTACACTGACGGCGTCCGTTAAATGAGGGGTATTTTGGTCCTTTCATTTTTTGTCCCTTACTCATTTAAATAAATAAAAATATTCGGTCATCTTTTTGGGCCAAACCCATCTCGGGTAATCTTCTCTGGACAAGACACCATAATACACAAAAAATTTCCAAATCAATCAGAAGACAAACCCGAATTAAAATCAAATCCGATCCTAAATAACCAAAACTCAAAACCAAAAACCATATTAGTTATCACCGTCGACTATCAATCATTGTCCATTGTTTAACCACCACCAACCACCATTGGAACCGCCACCAACCACCATCGAAACAGCCACCAACCACCACCTACCACCATCAAAAACCTTTAATCGGAAGTATACAACCCTAAATTTAACACTAATAACAAAACACTAATCTAATCTCACCTCAAAAATCACAAATCTTGAAAATAGAAGCCATTGTTGTTCAAAAGAATAATCAAAGACGATAGACCGTTAGGTCTTGGATCGATAGTGATAAGGGTCGATGTAAAGAGAGACATAGCCCATGTTATTTTACTATTATTACATATTAAAAATGTTTTAATGATTTTTTTAGTGTGGAGTCGGAGTTAGAAAAATTTAGTGTTCAATGAACCCATTATTTTAGTGTTTTTTTAGTGATCGAGTTGGAAATGGTCCATTTACCAAGTACTTACCCGGGTCAGCGCTTACCAAGTAAGATTACATCACCGTATAAATATGGTAAAGACCAAGAATCTTACCCGATAAGAACGAGACAAGGACCATGAGTCTTACCCGGTAAATGTGGGTAACGACTCTTACCACGGTAAGCACTTACCTGGTAAATTGTTGCATACGATGTCGTTTTGGTCGACTAAAATCTTACCCGATAAGTAAATAATAGTATTAAATTTTATCTGTAAGCACTTACCGGGTAAGTGTTTGGTAAATGGCCCCCAAAAGATTTTGAACTTTAATTCTCCATTTTGAAATTTTTTTGAAAAATTTATTGAAGATACTTTAATTAGCCAATTAATTCTTGTCCAGTCTTAAATTCTTACGAAAACCTAAGATTTTACTCGATTTTTGTTTTTATTATGTTTTATCATTTTATTTTATTTTAAAATTTTGTATATATATATATATAAAATATAAGTTAAAACGGATAAAAAATATTAACAATTATAAAGAACGTATTT